CCAGGGTGTTTGAAGAGCGAAATGCCAGGATTTGTGCCTGCAGGAGGTTCCTCCTCCCTCCCCACACCTCGGGAAAGGGGATAATGCCACAGGCCCTTCGAGGAGCGGAGCCTGAGCCCTCCCCACAATTCCCAGCTGGGAGCCTTGGCTGTGGGCTCCCCCAGGGCTGTTCCCCAGCTGCCTCTCCTCTGGCTGGGCATGTGCAGCCCCTCGTGTGCCAAGGAGCTGAGGATGACGTTATCCCCTCCCAGGGCAGGTGTGGGGAGCACGGCTGCTCCCTGGGTGCAGAGCCCCAGGGCCATGGGGGACCAGCCCCACCATGAACAGGGACCCCAGGCTGGGGGACAGCAGCACCTTGAGCTGTCCTGGAGCCCCGAGCAGGGATCAGGCTGCTCTGCTGCTGCAATCTCCAGAGGAAAGAGCTGGGAGCCAGAGCTGAGCTGAGGGAAACACAGCTTCTGTGATCTCACAGAGGAAATGACCAGCTAGAAAGGGTTAAATTGCCATTTCAAAGGCAAAGCCTTCCTCAAAATCCCTTTGGATCAATCAAGGTTAACCCTGCTCTTGCCCCTTTTGGGGAACAGGGTCAGCCTGGGCCAGCATTGGGTGAGGCTGATCCAGAAATCCCACGCCAGTCCTGTGACCTCTTGCTTGTTAGCAGGTCAGCACAACCTGGAGAGTTTGCCCTGGGAACTTTGGGTGTCCCTCACAGGCTGGGGGCTGCTTAGATGAAAGGCCAAATTTCATTCATCTCTAATCAAGCTTTTTGTTCTTGTTGGTAAGTCACGCTCGGCTCCAAAGGCCAGTAATCCATGCTGGAAGGCAGCACAGCCTCTGCAGCTTTCCCTGGCCACTCCTTGGCCCAGGGGGTGATGGCTCAGTGATGCAGGCACTGGAAGCCTCCAGCCCCTGTGGAACTGGCCCTTCCTGACCCCAGGGAAACTGGGGGGGAAGGACAGTGTGCAGCTCCCTGCGTGCCTGCCCAGGCCATCCCGGCTCCCCCTGTGCCCTGGGGAGGAGCAGGACCCACGCTGGTGTCTGTGTAACCTCTCAGGACGTGCTCAAAGCGCCCTGGAAGGGGGTCAGTGTTTGCACTCATTTTCCAGGGCCCATCTGTGGCAGGAATGCCACGGAGCAGGAGCCGGCAGCCTGATGGGGTTTGGGGGAGCCCCCTGGGTCCCTCTGCAGCCCCCTGCCAAATGCAGCCCTCAGTGAGCACAGCTCCCCTCTCCCAGGTTCTCCTGTGAACACTGCACCTCCAGCACTCAGCACCAAGCTAAAAACACATGTATGGACAGGTGGGGTAAAAAAAATTAAACCCCAAATTCTGGGCTGTTTGGATGGACACTGGCACTGCAGGTGGTGCTGGGGGAACAGTTGCCCACATTTCCCATCTAGACAGTTTTCTTGGAGACCTGCCTGCCCACCCCTTTTGGATCTGTGGGTTCAATACCTGGTATTTCCCCTTGCCTGGAGGCTAGAGGATGCATTGCTGGGGTTATCCTGGGGTTCATCCCTGAGTGGGGCTCTGTTCCATGGGGTGTGTGTCTGTTTGGGGGTCTGATGCCATGGGGCATGGCAAGGGAAGCTGCCAGTCCTCACCACTCAGCCCCAAAGCTGGAAGAGGAGCCAAAGATGTGGCCAAGCTCTCTTTCCCTGCCCCTTGTCCCTGTATCTAATGGTCCATCGGGATTATTTGCGCTGTCCGTGCAGCTGGGAGGCAAAAGGAGGTGTCTGGGCCAAGCAGTCCTCCTTACTTCATTTTCAACTGTTTGCAAAGCCCCTGATCAGACGACCCAGATGGTGCTAAATGGCCATGAAGGACCATTAGACAGTGGGTCATTGTCGTGCTCCTTGAGTTAGATAATTGTGATGGGCCTGAACTAATTAATTTCTACCCAAAAAAGTAGCACTGAATCATGGTCCTTTGGCAGCACTGGTGAGAAGGAGTTGTAATCAAGTTTTGGCTTTATCCAGCCTGCACAAACAGGGATCTCTGCTGGAGCCACACACTTCCATGGCCACGAAACAGGGGAGCAAGGAAAGCCACGCAGAGGCTCAGTCAGAGTGGGTCTCCTCATCCCACGGGGCAGGAGAGCCCTGGCACAATCCAGCAGCTCCTTTGTGCCCTGGGTCTGTCCTGCCTGCCCTCTGGAGTGGCCACATTTGGGAAATTTGGGGATGGGCCCAGGCCAGGCTCCTGCAGGAGGAGAGGCCTCTGGGGCCGCGCCGTGCCATGCCAGCCGCGTTTCCTGCATCCCTCCTTTGGCTCCAGCTGCCGCCTCCGAGGGTTTCCCTGCTTTTCTCATCACCCCCTTCTCAGCACCAGCCTTCCAGGAAGCCAGGGGCCTTTTCCAGTGTCCTGACTTGCTGGCACAGCTTCTCTCTGCAGGGACTTCTTTGTTTCCTCATCCTGGGGGCGCCGAGCTTTGACAGAGCTGGAGACAGGGAAATGTGATCCCGTTCCCCCAGCAGGGCTTGGACACCCTGCCACATTAGGTACATCCTGAGCTGCTCCTGCATCCAAGAAGGTGAAGGAACAGGAGAAAAGAGTGATCACAGACACATTTCTATGTGAGAAGAGACAGGAAACGTTAGGACTGTAGTCTGGAGGGGAGGCAGGTCTGTGGTGGCACGAGAACAGCCTGAGAGCCCTGCAGCACTGACAATCCTCTGCTTTCTGCATTTCTCGTCCCAAAAAAAGAAAAGGATGTGCAGAGGAGAGTGGATGCAGCCCGACCCCCCTGGCTGGGAACTGGGGAGACTGGAAAGGTCTTTTCCAGCCCGAACAGTTCCAGGCTTCCATCGTGGCCGCCTCTGCAGCCGCAGCCGGGGCTGCCCCCCGCCCGCAGGTGTGCGCACGGCGGGAGGTGGCAGTGCCGGGGCGCGGTGTCGCGGTGTCCCCGCATCCACCCCGCCCGCAGCCCGGGGTCCCGGCGGGGCCGTGCCTGCGCACGGACGGACGCACGGACACGGACGCACGGACACGGACGCACGGCGAGCCGGGCGCTGGCTTCTGCCCCGCGGCTGCTGATCCGATTAGAAGGGTTAATCCCAGCGGTGCCCCCTCGCAGGGGAGAGCAGGCTCCTGGCGAGGCTGGCTGGGCATCCTGGGATCGCCGACACTGCCGTAGGCAATGCTCGCTGCATTCCCGCAGCTCCATCCCGCCCGCAGCCTGTGCCAGTCCCCGCGCCTGTCACAGCCCCCGTCTCCAGCGGTGCTGCTGTGTGTGAGGCACTGAGCTGGCTGTGCCTGGGCTCAGGGTCCTGGCCCAGCTGGGAGTGCCCCGGAGGTCTGGCTGTGCCTGTCCTGGCCCCAGGACAGCCTGCATGGGCTCAGGTATCCTGTGGATACCCGCAGGAGCCTCACCTGGCCCAGGCAGAGCAGAATTTGTGCTGCTTCCCTCCCAGCCCTCCCCATGACCCCACCGGGGCAGCCGCACTCCAAACGCCTCCAGTGCTGGTAAATGAGCACAAATTGGCCCCGGGCTCAGCTCCAGTTAGATCACACCAGGGCCATTAGGCTAATTGGGCTGCCAAGTGAGGGGTCAGAGCACTGGCAGCATCCTCCCTCCATGCACACAGCTCCAGCCAGGCAGGCAGCCCTGGGGCAAGGAGGCGGCTCAGCCCCTGTCCCTTCACCTCCCACCATGGACGGGAAGCCCCCTCAGGCTCAAAGCCTCCCAGGGGCTCTCTTCTGGATAAACCTGAGCACCTCAGCCCCGTTGTGTGGCCCTGGTGAGCTCTGTTTGCAGCCAGAGCCATGAGCAGACCACCAGCAAATGGGAAGGGGGATCCCCTATGGATGAGCAAAGCTTCTGTGGGATTTCTCTGCATCCCAGCCCCGAGTGAATGCAGGGGAACCAGACCCCACCAGGGCCCCTGAGCCTTGACACAGACCCTACAGGGAAAGGAGAGCCAGCACAGGAAGCTGAATCAAGAAGACTTTTAATCAGATTTGTCAGACAGAGTTGGATCTCCAAATAAATAGATTTATCAAAAGGGAATAAAACAAGAATTCAGGGATAAATATATGTACCAAAACAACCTGAAAATCCCCCAAAGCTGTTTCCAAACAGGGGGAAGGGGATGCTGCTGCACGCCCTCCTCCCCATGCTGCAGAAATGATCCTGTTTGCCCTCTGGGAGACGCCCCTCCTGTGAATACAGCCTGGTAGATATTTTATAGGATAGATATAAATATATAGCACAGTAAATGCTGAGCAGCGACCTTAGTGCAGTGCCCAGGGTCTCAGACCCTGCCAGCAGCTGGCTCCTCCCAAAACCTACATCTCCAGCTGACCTGCAGAGAGGGAAGAGAATCATCCCAGGGAAAAGAATCCTTTCCCTGCAAAGAGGGAAAGTAATCATCCCAGGGAAAAGAATCCTTTCCCTGCAAAGAGGGAAAGGAATCATCCCAGGGAAAAGAATCCTTTCCCTGCAAAGAGGGAAAGGAATCATCCCAGGGAAAAGAATCCTTTCCCTGCAAAGAGGGAAAAAATAATCCCAGCTGGAAGAGAAGAGATTGTTCAAAGAACACCCCTTGGAGGGTATCCAGGCACAGAAGCCCCTTTGCAGCTCCCAGGGGCTTCAAGGAAAGAAGCAGGGATGATTTTCCTCCCTTTGCAGGTCATCTTTCCCCTGGTGAGAAGCACGGTCATGTCCCGCTTTGCCACTCCTCAGGAACACCGGGGTGTCTGGGATGGATCCCACCTCCTCCTCCTCCTCCTCGTGTGGCAGCAGGTCCCAGCCCTCCAGAGGGCCGTCTGTCCCTGCTCCCTGTGCTCACCCCACACCTCTGGGCAGCGGGAGGGAGGCACCTGCCCGGCTGTGGCTCCGATGGGTTGGCATTGGGATGGTTCTCTGGAGTCGCTGGAATTCCCACTAGTGTAACCTGTATTGCAGTGCCAGTCTACTGAGTAATGCAGCTCTGGAGTTGGGGTATATGTGTATGTGTGTCTGTGTGTAGATAAATCGATAGCTAGAGGAGAGTTCTTGGCTTTACAAGGTCTTTGTCTCCTTCTCTGGGCTCTCCGTCATCCTCAGCTCCGACGACGTCTGCGCTCGGAAGATGTTCCAGTGACCTGGATCAGCAGGACAGACAGACAGACATTAGCAACAGCCTCGGGGCAGGCCGTGTTCAGAGCAGCTCCTCAGGGATCCCAGCCACAGGTACTGCAGTTAAATTGACCCCAGCCACAGGTGCTGCAATTAAAATGGGGCTCGGAGGGGCTCTCACCCTTGCAATGCAGCAATGGCACAGTCAGTGGCACTTGCAATGCTTTCTGTGCAAAACACTCACACAGTGTGAAAAGGGGCTCAGGCTGAAACAGGGACAAACCTTCCTCTGCATCTCTTTAAATGGTGCTCTGATGTGGTAGGTCCATGTCCTCCCTGGCATGTCTCGGATTTGGGTGACTTTCTGCCTCTCAGGGGGGGAAGCATTCTGCCTCTGTCTCAACCTCAGAAAGCCACAATTTCAGTTTCATGGCCATTGGTCAGGTAGGGTTCTCTCCTCCCTTCTGTCAGCCCCATTTGAGGGTGGGTTGCTCAATCTCCCCTCATTTACATTCATATTTCTGCTGCTGCCTCAGCCTTGGGTCTTCATTCACCAACCTATGGTAGGGGAAAATCCTGCTGCAGAAGAAGAGGGAAGGAATCCCTCTGGATCCCCCAAGGAGCTGCAGACTCCCAGCAAGTCAAATGTGGAGCTGTGAAAGCCCCCCCAAACCAGGACAAAGTGTCCCAGTCCCTCTCCTTGTTCCCTAAAGAATCCCCAGATGTGCAGGAGGTGGCTGGAGGTGCTCCCTTCCCCCTCAGGTGTTCTGTCTCCTCAGTGCAACCCCAGCAAGGATTGCACCAGTGTCATCACCCCGGGGGTGAGGGAGTGTTTTCTGGCTGCATTAACCTTCTGCTGTGAGGAAATCGTGGGTCAGAGCTTTCCTAGAACTCGCGGCCACGGCAGCGGGACGGTTTCACAACAGGGCTGTTTGCCAGGGGAAACCGAGGCAAGGAGAAGGAGACACGTGCCAGAGACTGCACCAGGGTGTGAAGCACAGCCTGGCAGCAGGGACTGGACCATCCCCCAGGGTTTGTTTGGTCCAAGGTGCTGTCTCAAAGGGACTGGGGGTGCTGGTGTGCCCGAGTGAGCCACAGCCCCGGGTGCTGCACACTGCAGGCACGGCTCTGAGCCCAGCCCGGGCAGCAGGAGCAGCCAGCAGTGCCCTGCACACAGGCGTTCCTGCTCTCTGTCGTGTTTACGCACATCCCGGAACATCCTGAATGGTTTAAAACACATTTCAACAGTTGGATTTTTCGCTAATCCCTTGCACCATTTTTTTTTGCCCTCCCCCCTTGCTCCCAGGAGCACCAGATGGATTAGATATAAAAATCAAACAGTTTTACGGGCTCTGGAGAGACAAAACCTCTGGATTTCACAAGAGTGCAGCCACTTTTAGAAAGCTGGCTGCCCTTTCCTATGCCATAAAGTGAAAATGTGGCTGTAAGCAGGAGTGTTGCGTGGGGTGTGAAGACAGGTCAGCCCCAGCACGGCTACACTTGCACAAGTGCTGTCCCCAGGGCTCAGCTCCCACACAGGCTGGGATTCACACAGCCTTTGGAAGGGCCAGAGCAGAGCAGGAAATCAGGAGGGAGTGCTGGAGGAGTGAGGAAAGGGGATTTTTCTCTCCCTACCTTCGTTTGTCCTGGTGATCAGCCTGAAGTTTTGTGCCTCTTGCTTGAATTCTTGCTTGCTGATCTTCTTGGTCTGGATCAGATGGAATATTCCTGCAGAGGGGGACGCAGGGCATCAGATTCTGCAGTGCCCAGCTCAAGGCTCACACAGGGTTGGATTCTCTGTCCCCTCCTGACACTGCCTGCCCCAGGGCCCTGGCTTGGCGCAGCCCTGCTGCCAGAGCCTGGTGGGAGCTGGCAATGGAGCCAGGGCTGGCCAAGGCTCCAAGGAGACATCTCCTTTAAGTATCAGATTAGATACTAGGAGGAAACTGTTCCCTGTGAGGCTGTTAAGGCCCTGGCACAGGTTGCCCAGAGAAGCTGTGGCTGCCGCACAAGTGGGGAAGTGTTCAAGGCCAGGCTGAAGCAAACTGGAACAGTGGAAGGTGTCCTGTCCACAGCAGGGGTGTGGAACAGGGCGGGTTTGAAGCTCCCTTCCAACCCAAACATGCTAAGATTCTGTGGTTCCATGAAAACAGCCACTGCTTGTTGAACCAGGATGTTTCACCATGGAGCAGGTGAAAGCAATGGGATTTTGTTGCTCCAGAAAGCATCTTGCCCTGCAGGAGTTCCATCTCCCCTAAAAATATAAAATAAATAAAGGTGAGAGCAAAGGGATGCTGGGGCCCCTCTGCTCACTCTCAAGCACCAGTGCTCCCCTCCATGCTCAGGTGATCTTTCCTGGAGGCACCAAAGGTTTCCATCTCTTGGTCAGCAGTGCTGAAAGTGCTCCAGCACAGGAACAAACACAAGTGACCTCAGCAGGGATTGATATTTGTGCCCCTGGCAGCACTGACCCTCCGTGGAGCTGCTGACTCAGATGTGTGACCCCTGCAAACCAGAACCTGTGTTTAGCAATGACAGTGCCCTTCCTGTGGGATCAGGGATCTGGCATTCCTGCTCTCCTGCAAGGCATGACAAGGCAGGCAGGTATGCCTGGAATATCCTTCCCCACCTCTCACTCAGGCACAGCCAGCCTCCTGCTGCCAGCAGATGGGAGAGGCAACGTGGTCCCCCTTATTTGGTTAAGAGACTTTCCCTGATTCCCAGCAGCAATTACACATGAAAAGGGTATGTAATGAAGGGGAACTGCCTCACGAGCCAGATAAATGAGATGTTATCAACTGTGGAAAATTAGTACAGGAAGTCAAAGACAGAGAGAGAAATAGATGGATTTTTGGACTGTTACTTAGTCCTTCCAGTGGGTTGGGTAAAGAAGTCCTACCAGTAACAAAAGAAGAGACTGGACGGAGATAATAAAACTGTTATTGACGCAAGAAAGGCACAAGTGTTCAATAAATTCTTCTGGTCTATAATTAGAAAGGAGCAGGAGGGTGTGCTTACAGTCCTGGGGCTGATGGAGCACTTTCCAGCACATTAGTAACCAAGAGGATATTTTAAACAAGAGCTACGAGAGATAAACATCTTTTAATCAAGGACCTGGATGATGCTCCCCAAGAGCTCTCAGAGAGCTGGCCGAGACCTTTGGCCCCCAGGAGGGTCATTCCCAGCATCCCAGGAGCTGGGAGCAGCAGAGGAAGGCAGCAGGAACCAGGACAGCACAGGCTAAGGACAGTCCAGCAGTGGGGAGGCAGGATGGATGGAGCTGGCACAGGGCAGTGCCATTTCCTGGCACACACATCCCATCCAACAGGCAGGAGCACTCCTGGCAGCCCCTGGGATGGGATGGAGCGAGCTGCTGGGGCACTGTTCTCAGTGCTTTAAAGGGGATTTGTGAGAAAGATGGGCATGGACAGAGAGGACAACAGGTCAAAAACATCAGATTTTCAAAACTGCTGGTGATGTTCAGACCCCTAAAAAGATGGGGAAGCGCTCACTGCAACTCTTGTGGAGGCCAGCTGTGCGCCACCAGCCAGCTGGGCAAAACCTTTGGCTGGAGCTGGTGCTGGTTTCTCCTCCCAACTCCTGGTCCGTGGAGGAAACCATCCCAGCCCAGAAATAGATGAGGCCACGTAGGTATCATGAGCCCATACAAAGGCAATGGACCGGGTCCAGGTGTGACTTGCAGGCTCTTTGCTCCACACACGCTGCTCTGTTGGTGGAGCCGTGGCCCACGGAGAGGTGGAATCCATATGTGAGTGAGCTCATGCTCTTTCCCAACAACAACACTGCACCGTGCCAAGCAAAAGAGCCGTGTTGGCCTCGGGGACAAGGGCCTCCCCTGTCCCTGGCTGGCAGGGCTGGGGAGCTCCATGCAGGCTGGGGCTGCTGGCCTCGGAAGGTGCCGGCAGGGTTTGGGTGCTGCCCTGCCAAGGAGCCAGGGGAGGAAGCGGCGGGGCCCGAGCTGTCCTCAGCCACAAGGTGCCATTGTGAGGGAGGCCCTGCTGAGGAGGGGCAGCACGGGCAGCAGGGAGCGTGCCAGGGGCAGGATGGGAACGTGGTGCCACCAGGGCTCCATCCCTGGGTTAATGTCTCAGGTGATGTCCAGCCATGGCCAAGGTCTCCCCAGGGAGTGATGTGAAACACGGGCACACCAGGAGACCAGGATGGCTGCACAAATCCAGCAGACACAGGGCAAGGGCCGCTGCATCCATAGAGAAGGTATGACCAACCTGAAGCACTCAAGTTCTTTGGAGTACAGTGGAAACTCAGGAATGGGGCACTGGGATGCTTCCCTGGGCCACAGAGAGACAGCACAGATATCTACTGGACCAGGTGTCCCCAGACTCCCCACATCCACAGGAGCAGAGCTGAAGGTGTGGGGAAAGAGCAGGAGATTGGAGCCTGCTGACAGCGTGTTTGCTGTGCCTTGACCTCCGGAGCACACACCAACAGGAAGGAGCATCCGAACCCCCCCATCCAAAAAGTGGGCTGGGGACAATTCATCCCCCTTTGTGCACCTTTGCAGCTGCTTTCTAGCTGTAGGTGGACTGGGGTGTAAAAAAAGGAGTGAAAGCAAAACCACAGGGCCACGAGAACAATTCCTTTGCTTGTTTTCCACGTGCACTTGGCACGAGAGCAGGGGGTCTGGGCGAGCAGCCCCAGGCCCTTGCTTGGTTGCCCATGTGCTGTGCCCCCAGATGGTGCTGCAGCTCGGGGTGAGGTTAGTGGGGCCAGAAGTGTTTTCCAGCCCCTGGCCTGCATGGAATGCAGGGAGAGGGTGTGAAATGGGGGAGCCAGGAAAGCCAGCCTGCTGTCAGCAGGTTTTGATCCACCATGCAAGGGGTGGAGCGCCGCAAGAAAAGCCAGAGAAACCGAACAAAGCTTGAAAAGCATCAGGTTTCCACACACGCCTCCCGCTCTGCTGGCCGCTTTCACAATGGTGCTCACCTTTAATCAGCTTCCAGTTGTAGATTTCCACCTCCTCTGCCAGCTCCCTCTCGATGGCCACGGTCCTGAGGATGTCCTTGGAGGGCTCGGAGCGCGGCGGCACGAAGGCGTACACCAGGACACGGCCGGGGCCGCCGCACCGCGGGCTGCCCACCTCGTCCGTGGGTCTGACCCTGCTTTCTGGGCACAGACGGGGACACGGGTCATGGAACAGGGGCAGGCGGGACCATCCCCGCAGCCCGGTCATGGAAAAGGCATCTCGGTGGCTTTGGTGCCTCGGGGCGCTGTCCCATGATCCGAGCCCCAGCTCCAGGAGCAGCAGCAAAGGAGAGGCTGATAAAGGAGGTGTGGGCCTCCTCATCCCCACGTTTTTCATTCCCCCTGACCCCAGCCGCCCCTGTGCCAGCAGGGATGGGGAAGGGGGGTTTTGTCCATCTGGATCCCCCATACTCCTGCAGCGACCTTGGTGCCACCATGGCCACAAAGCAGGGGCTGGATTCCCCTACTTCCCATCTCGCTCCTGCTGGGGAGGAACATCAGGGGAGACAAGGGATGGCCCAGAGCAGGGCAGCCTGGGCAGTGTGCCCAGCTCAGCCCCTCAGGTGGGCCCAGCACCAGCCCCAGCACCCTCCCCACACAGAGTGCCACCACAGGGACAGCCACCCTGGGTCCTACGTGACTTTTCCAGCATCCTTGCTAAAGAAAAGATGCTCATTTTCCCTTTTTTTTTTTTTTTTTTTTTTTTTTTTAATGTATCTGGAGTAATTAAGAATGCCCTGTGGTTTTGGAAGGAGATTTATTGCCTTTGGTTGTGGTCCTTGGAACGCAGAGGAGCCCAGCTCTGCTGAATTTAGCCTTGTTCTCCCAGTCAGTTTGGATGCTGAAGCTTTTCACACTACTCGAAAGAAAGTTTGGCTATAAATAGATGCCTAGGGTTTATTTTAGCAAGACAGTTATTTTAGGCCTGATTCTGCTCTCCCCCAGGCTTTCTGGGGTGCTCCTGAGCTCTTCTGCTCTGAGAGGGAATGGAAATCCCAGTTCAGAGGGAAGCAAAGCTTTTCAGCAGGCAGAGGACAGGAGCTCAGCTCTGCAGCTCAGCGTGAGGCAGAGGAGGGTGAGCACGGCCCAGCACCCTCACCTGTCCCAGGGAAACCCCTGCTCCAGGGCCTGAGCCTTCCCTGCTCCAGGGCATTCCCAGAAATGTGCAGTTGTTCAAGCTGGAAAAGCCCTTTGAGATCATGGAGTCCCTGATTAAAGCCCCACCTCCACAGCAGCAAAGGAACCCCTGGAATTCAATGGGAATGAAACAATCAAGGAGCTTCACACCCTCACAGCATGGGGAGGAGGAGCAGGGACACTGAGGTGGTGGTGTGTCCCCCCCATCCGCACAACACATCACAGCAATTCCCAGGGTCAGGATCCCTTTGGAAAAATCACTTGGCATTCCTAAGTTACTGGTACAAAGGAGGAAGGTAAGGACAGCCACAGAAAGCACCTGGGAAAGGACCTGGGCAAAGGCTGCAGGCAGTGAAGGAAAGGGCAGGGATGTGACCTGGCTGAGCAGTGTGTGTGTGATTGCTGTCTGTGAGAGCTGGAAGGCAGGAACACAATAATTCTGGCTGCGTCAGGGTGGTTAATTGGAAATAAAGTGAAGCCTGAGCAGCAGACAGGAGACCCAAGCAGGGAAAGTTGTCAGATTTAAACCAGAGAGACCCACTAGAGTGGGAATGCAAGACTGGAAGGGTTCTGCTCAGTCATCACATCCCATTCCCACCAGGCACCACATCGTAAATCCTGCTCATAAACATATCAAAAACCTTATTAAAACAAGCCGAGCTTCTGCCCTGTGCTCCCCTGAGGAGGCCATCTCAGAACCTCTCCACTCAGGCGCTGGAAAACCTTGGAAATCTCAGCTCAAACAACTCTGCAGCCATTCCAAAACGTGGCAGTGCCCTTTGCTTGTTCTCCAGGCTGAGCCCCTTCCCAGCTCCCTCAGCCTCTCCTGGTGCTCCTGCCCCTTCCCATGTCCCAGCTCCAGCCCAGTTCTACCTGGAGCACCCCAAAACCTGTGTGTTCAACCTCCCCTGCCAGAGATGGGGGTTCCAATTCCCACAAGCCATGAGCGCCACAGACAGCCCTTCTACTGGGAAGTGTCCTCACTCCTCCCTTCACACCTACACCTCAGCTGGCACAATTTAACCCTGGTTTTTGTGGACACACAGGCTGTGTGTCCTCTGCCCTGAAAGCTCCTTCCATCCCAGCACTCTCAGTCTGGAGCACAACTCCAGACCTCATCCTCCCAACAGATGGAATCTTGTGGGAGTCCTGGGGATGTTCCTTACCTTGGCAAAGTCCTGCTGCCCTCCAACCCTGCTGGACCTGTCTGGTGTGAATTCTAGCCACCAGCAGCCTGAATCCCTTTGGTTCTCTCAGCCTGAGGCTTTAATCCAAGGCTGGGGCAGGAGCTGGGAGGCAGCTGCAGGAGCTGGCAGGATCCCACCTACCTGGACATTCCTTACAGCACTTCCCATCCACTTTTTCAGGGTGCTGGCAGGGGTACTCCTTGGGACAGGTGAGCTTGTGGCAGTCCTGGACGCCGTCCCTGCAGGTGCAGAGGATGCAGGGCAGCAGGCCGTAGAGCCGGAACACGGGGTGCCACACCTCACCGTGCGAGTAGGTCTTCCCGTTGTACACACAGGCTGCAGGAGACACACACAACAGCTGCCTGGGGACATAAACCCTCCTCCTCCTCCTCTTTGTCAGCCCAAGGCTCGGTGGAGGCACGGCCTTGGAGCATGGAGGACATGGCTGCTCCTGCTGTGTGAAGGAGCCATGTTCTCTGGCAGCACGGGACACCACAGAAAGTGGCATGGGACCAGAGGTGCCACAGGGACCAGAGGTGCCACAGGGACCCAGCAGGTGCCACAAGGACCCAACAGGTGCCAACAGGGACCAGCAGGTGTCACAGGGACCCAGCAGGTGCCCCCCAGCAGGTGCCATGGGGCAGGGGAGCAGCACCAGGGGCTGGCTGTGCCCGGTGTGACCGCCCTGCAGGGACAGGGCCCTCACCCAGCTGCCACCCTCCGGAGCCAGGGTCCCTCCCGGCCGTGGCAGGAGTGAAGCACAGTGAAGAGTGCCACCTGCTGACTTCTGCACGGAAATTTCTGGAGGTCCCACAGTTCCCTCCGGGCCTTCATGCCCAAGGCACCTTCTGGAGGCACAATGGTGGGAGAGCGGCCAAGAGGAGAAAGGAGCTGTTGTTCCCCCTCTGGATCGAGGGACTGGCCTCCTCTGCTCACTTCCCTACTCTGTGCTCCAGGGGAACACCTGGGGCAGCCCTGGGTCAGGGCCAGCCCTTGCACAAGGAGGAATGTCCCGTCTTTGTGTGCCACTCTCCTGGAAGGTCCATGTGGAGCCTTCCAGCTGAGCTCCTTCCTTCCCAAGTCCCAGATCTCCAAAACATTCCAAGGACCAGCCTTCTCCCAACCCACTTTGGAGAGTGGCACTCAGGAGACTGTGGGTATGAGGACTGAGACACCTTGAGGCTGGCTGTGGGGAGTGGGCAGAAGGACTTGCTGGTGGAAACCTGCCACTGAATCAGATCCCCAAAGAATTCCAAGCTCTGGAGAGGCCACTAAAAGTCCCTGCCTGGCCCCTGCATCCCTTACCTTTCTTGTGCTTCTCTTTCAAGACGATCTTGACAGTGGTGCCCCCTGCTCCCTTGGGTTTGAAGCTTCTGGGAATCAGCTCCAGGGAAGAGCTGAGAGCTGTGGACACGGTGGCTCCGGGGGGCTTCCTGCCCACCACCTCTCCCAAGCACTGATCCTGGGAATGTCTCTGTGAGCAGCCAGGGAAAACAGGGGATTCAGACTCCAGCAGTTGAGCTGTTCTCCTTCCAAAACATGCTGGAAAAAGCCATGCAGGTGTCCTCCATGCCCTCCCTCAGGAGTGCACGGGGCAGAGACCACAGGGGTAAGCAATGGCCCACAAACCATATAAATCACAGAAATATTAAGGCTGGAAAATTCCTCTGAGATCATGGAGCCCAACCATTCCCTCAGCACTGCCAAGGCCACCATTATCCCATGTCCCAGAGTGCCACATCCACACAGCTTGTAAATCCCTCAGGGGATGGGGATGCCAGGCTGCTGTGCCAGGGCTGGACAACCTTTTGGGGGAAGGAACTTCCCCAATATCCATCCTGAACCTCCCCTGGCCCAGCCTGAGGCCGTTCCCTCTCCTCCTGTTCCCCCCCAGCTGTCCCCTCCTGTCAGGAGCTGTGCAGAGCCACAAGGTCCCCCCTGAGCCTCCTTTTCTCCAGCTGAGCCCCTTCCCAGCTCCCTCAGGAATTCTCCATCCCTCAAACACACAGGGAGATGGGCTGGTCCTTCCTAGGTGGGAAAAGGAGGGCTGGCATCTGTGTGGCACAGGCAGTGAGGATGGGCCAGATCCTGCTCTCCCACCTGGGAGGCACCAGGGGAATCAGAGTGGGGCTGCCAGCCAGCAGGGCTGAAACACCAGGAACACCCCAGGAACATCCTGGGAACATCCCAGGCTTCCAGGAGCAGAGTGCTGGGACAAGACACGCAGCACAAAGGGTCCCCTTGTGTCTGTTTTGGAGGTTTTATAGGTGCTGTATGGAAAAGGGCAGAGGCAGGAGCTGAGTGACCTAATCCCACAGAGCTGGCATGGGCAGCCCAGCTCCAAAATGTGGCCCTGAGGGAACCCAGGAGCCAAGGAGTCCCTTTTTCCTTGCTGGGCTGCTGATACAGGGTGCTGGCCTGAGCTCCCACCTAGGCTGGTATCTCCCAGCCAGACTCAATTCCATGGCACAATCCACCTGCAAATCAGGTGCCCGTGTTCTGCTGGGCAAGGATCTGGGTGTCCCCCTAGAGCTGCTGGGCATTGTGCAAGGATCTCTCAATGGATCTCACTGTGCCAGGGCACTCTGTGAGCTGCTCAGGGGGCTGTGCTAGGAGCAAGGGGTTTGAAAATGCAAACGTCACGTACAACACCTCTGTTTAACTGCAGGGGCTCCTCTTCCGAGGGCTTCTCAAGGGAGCCATCTGCAAGGGAAAAACATTGTCCTGGAACATGCTGGGGGCTGAAAGCAGCTCTCCTCCACATGCTGGCCTGCCTGGGAGTCTGGAGAGACAGGAGCCTTGCACATGCAATTCATATTATCCAAGGAAAACCCAAGCCTTGCACAAGCAATTCATTTTACCCAAGGAAAACCCAAACCTTGCACATGCAATCCATATTATCCAAGGAAAACCCAAGCCCTCAGCTTGTGCTTCCTGGTGCAACCAAGAGATAACAAGCAGGCTGATTTACAGCCCAGGCTCCCAAACTCCTGCCAGAGTGGCTTGGGATGGCTCCTGCTGCCAGCTGGGGTGTGCCAGCCCTCACTCCCAGCCCCGTTACCTTTGCAGACCTGGCAGCAGGAGTCTGGCACGCTGAAGGGAGAGGAGCACAGCAGCTCGGGGCAGGTCACCAAGCCACAGTAAATCTGGCCTTCCTAGGAGGGCAGGAGGGAAAAACACACTGTCAGCCTTATAAAGGGCTGTATGTCCCCCACGCAGGCCCCTTCCAACCCAAACCATCCCAGGATTTTATGAGTTCATGACCGAAAGCCCCCTGGTAATCCATTTTGCAGTGCCACCAATCATCCAGCACCTGCTGGCAGCTGGAGTCTGTCCCTGCTGCTCTGTCTGTCTGTCCATCCTGCAGGGCTGTGTGCTCTCCTGGCACAGCTGTTCCATGGATAACACACTGCTCTTCCCCAAAAAGGGCAGGCACCATTAGTGCTGCTGGGCTGGAACAGCCACCACACACCTCCCAGCCCTGCAGAACAACCCCCAAGAGGAAAAGGACCCAGAGGAGAGGGGTGGAAGTGGGAAGCAGGACTCTGAGTCCAGGTCCACACCAAAGCTCTGCCCTCCCTCTCCCTTGGTTATTTCCCCAAGCAGGGACAAGCACACAGAGGTGCAGGGATAGACCCAAGCGGATCACTTGGAAAATATCATTGCTGCAGGTGATTCAAGCTGGAAACCACAGGTTGAGGGCAGCCTTGACCTTTGTACGTCCCAGTGCCACCTCAGTCAGTGGATCTGCACCAGTCTGTGGCAGGAATAAGTTTTTGCTACTTTTCCAAGGGGTAAAAAAGGATGTTCAGCAGCCAGCCCTTGACAGCAAGGTGATCTCCCTGCAGCAATTTTCTCTGGGGTATCCAGAAGCTCCCAGTCAAGCAAGACCAAGAGGTCAGCCAAGGATATCCTTAGAAAAGCAAACCACAGCTGCCTCTCCTCCCATCAGGATCCAAACTGCTGTGCAAGGAGCACGAGGGGGATGAGGGGAGTGTGGTGGGTGACAGCATCTGGCAGATCCTGCTCTGCACCCAGGGAGCCCACACCTGCCTCTCCCTTCCCTCTCCTCCTGCCCAGCAGTGCCCTGCCCCAAGAGCCAGTGCCCAAAAAGAGCAGGATTTATCCCAGAGGCTCTGCTCTCGGGGCAGTTCCCAAAGAGGGTCAGACCAGCTGTTCATGCAGCTGTTCCAGCAGCTGACGGCACCAGACACAGCCCGGGGAGATCCCCACAGTGAAGCTCCACTTCAGCCAGCCCTTTATTTCCCCATTTGCACCCGAGGCATTGCCCTGACAGATACACAGAGTGACAGCCCAGAGGGACAAGGAGCCCACGGGCTCCTGGGGACGCGTGCAGCTGGATTGGAGGGCTCTTTCAGGTGTTTCAGGTGTTTCACATCACCCAGCTGGGGTTCTTTAGAGGGGAACCAGCCTCCTCAAAGGCTGCATCATTGCCACACGTCAGTCACTCCTCTGGCCACCCCAGAGCAGCTATTCCAGCACCAGAGGCAGAGGCTGGACAGGTTACAACCAGTGTAACCCCTGTGTGTGATGACAGAGCAAGGTGCTTTTGGGGCTCTTTTGCCCCTTCTTTATGTGCTGGCACCAAAGAGGGGGCACAGGGTGCCGCAGCGAGGGCTGTGAGCCCCGGAGGAGGATGAGGATGAGGATGAGGAGGATGAGGAGGCTTACGGAGCAGCTGCACTGCACACACTGGTTGGGCTGGCGGCCGGGGAACAGCTCGCTGCCGCTGAACATCTCTCCCTGCTGGAACGTGGTCCCGTTGTAGCGGCACGACCTGGCGGGCGCCCGCAGCCCGGACGGGGACGGGGGCTCTGCAAAAGGGGCGAGAAAGGAGCGGGGTCACGGCCAGCCCAGCCCAGCCCACAGGAGCCTGCACACCCCACGGGCACCCCGAAGTGTCAGAGCATTGTGTGGCTGGTCAGCAATGAAGGGTCCAAAAGGTTTTGGAGGATGGGGCTGCCCTGAGCTCAGCACACAGGGAAGCCTGACCTCACAAAGTTCTTAACAGAATTATTGGCGTTTCCCCTCCCCTGATTGTAACCATCGCCAGATTCAGATGGAGTCGGGTAAAAAGGGATCGTCTCATAGGTAATTAGGAAAAAAATGAAAATCAATGAGGTTTTTCCCTATTTTTCCCCTAATTTCTCAAATCACTTGTGATTTATGACTAGCTCTGCCAGCACTCAGGTAGGCAAAGTTTTGAGACTAAATCTTGAGGTGAGGTCTTTATTCTCACCATATTGAGGTCAAATTAGGCAATCAGTAGTGGTAAAGTAGAAAAAGTTTTGGGGCTAAAACTTGAGCTAGTCTCCAGTGCAAAGAAGGAAATTGTTAAAAAACTATAATTTTTTTTCTAGAAATTTATTTCTAAATTTTTTCTTTTTTAATCCAAGACATTTTGCTGGCAAACGATCAGAAGAAGTTGCCAGCTCCTGTTTTGCCCCAGAAGTGTGAACTGACGCTTTGTCCCTACAGAGCTCTGGGGATGGGGGCATGGGGAGAGGGTGATCTGGCAGAGAGCCCTTTTCCATCAGAACGGGATTTTTGGAGGGACAAAGCAGGCGGGGCTGGGTGCCACCGCACCCTGTGCCCTGCCCCGAGGGGTGCCCACGCACCGGGACAGCGCGGGCAGCACTGCTGCGGCTCCGTCACGGGGCTGGCACACGGCAGCGCCGGGCACTGGATCCGGGAGCACCTGATGCTGGTGTTCTGCGGACAGACAGACACACAGACAGACAGACGGGCTGGTTAGTCCCCAGGGAGCGTTCAGCCCTCCTGCAGGAGGAGGGACGCGCTGTCACAAACTGTGTATCGCAAGCTGTGCAGGCTGTGCTCGCCAGGGATGGCTCCAGCCCTGCCTTGGTCCCTCACCCATCACCCCAGAGCAGCCCTCGGCCTGCCACCCTCACAGGGAACAGCTTCTTGTTCTAAATATCAGTCTGAATCTCCTCTCTTCTGGTTTGGAACCCTTCCCTTGGCCCATCATGGTCTGCCTGCATAAAAAATAACTTATCTGCTGAAATGAGACAGTGGGACCGATCTGCTGCAAAGCTGCCGAGCAAAGCCCCAGTGCAGCAGCAGCGGCAGCATTATCAGCAACATCATCATCATCATCATCATCATCATCATCATCATCATCATCATCATCATTATTAGCATTAGCATTAGCATTAGCATTAGCATTATTAGCGTTATTGTTATTAGCATTATAGTAGAAAATTCTGAGACCTTTTTTCTCCTTGCCCCATCAGCAGGTTTGTTTGCCTGTGCTATCTTCCTGCTTAGTAAAAACATCTTCTTGTTTCAAGTAAATTTATCCTTTGCTCTAAGCCATAAAAATCCCTTCCAACTAACACTCTCTTTGCCTTCTTAGTTATCCAGTAAGATTGGCTCAGCAATTCTTTTCCTCTATATCAAAACTTGCTTCCATCTCTATTCCTTCATCACACTCTACATGTAAAAATCTTTCTGCCAAGCACACGTATCTGTGAGACTTTGTTGTCAAACTTTCATCCTTCCCAACAAGCATTGTTATTGGTGTTGTTGTTGTTGTTATCAGCAGCATTAGCAGCAGTATTAGCAGCATTAGCAGCAGAATTAGCAGCAGTATTAGCAGCAGTATTAGCTGCAGCATCAGCAGCATTGGCAGCAGGATTAGGGAGTATTAGCAGCAGAATTAGCATTAGCAGCAGCATGAGCAGCAGCATTAGGAGCATTTGCAGCAACGCTATTATTGTTGTTATTATTATTAATAGCATTATTATCAATAGCATTATTATTATTTTAGTATCTGTGAGACTTTCTTGTCAAAGTTTCATCCTTCCCAACCAACATTATTATTTTTATTATTATTATTATTATTGTTGTTATTAGCAGCAGTATTAACAGCAGCATTAGCAGCAGCATTAACAGCAGCAATAGGAGCATTCGCAGCAACATTATTATTATTATTATTATTATTATTAGCAGCAGCAGCAGCAGCAGCATTAGCAGCATTAGCAGCAACATTATTATTGTTGTTATTGTTATTATTAGCAACATTAGCATCATTGTTATCAGCATTATTGTTAGCATTGTTATTGTTAGCATATTTGTTATTAATGTTGCTGTTTTCATTATTGTTGGCAGCAGCGGCATCCCTGGCACCATGAGCAGCCCTGGATCGTTCCCGGGTCGCTGCCAGCCCCGGAGGGACGGTGCCCGACGTGCCTCGGCGCAGCTGCAGCGGATGCAGTACATGAGCCCCTGCGGCTCCAGGTACGGGTGCCAGCTCTCCCCTGGGCTGTACTTCTTGCCGTTGAAGTCGCAGAACGCCTCCGGCCCTGCAAGCAACCAGGAGAGGCCAGGTGAGAAACGGGGCTGTTCCTGTGTGACAGCAAGCACAGCCTGCGCCTCGTTCCCCACATCCCGCACACCAAACCCAGATTGTGATTGGTTCCCCCCAGTTTTATTTTATTCTCATGCGTTTTTTACCCTGGGACCCATCTGGGGCTCAAGTGGCAGCCCCTCTGAGCAAACTGGACTCCCTTTGCAAGAAAGGGACAGAACGGGTGGGTTTGAGGCAGGAAATCGGGTTTTCACTCTGACACAGAAATGCTCACTGCAAGATGGGTCCACAAAGGTCTTTATAGGTCCTCTCCTTGTCTTTGAGCCTCTCCTGGATGGCTTTAGGCACTTGATTCCCCAAGCTGCACCTTCACAAGTGGTGAGCAGCAGCTGTCCAGGCTGGCTGGCCCAGGCACAGCACATGTAGGTGTCTGCGGTGGCTTTGGGGGTTACCAGAGGGACTGGCAGAGCTGTTCTCCTTCCTTTTCCCTGATCAGGGCTTCACATTGTCCCCACAGCTCTTGAGAGCCAGCAACTCCTTGCTGCTGGCCATGAGCTTACAGCAAACCACACAAAACTAGAGAGCATGTGGCTTGAGCATGAGGAAACCCAGAGGAGAGAGCAAAAAACAAAACAAAACAAAACAAAATTACAAAAAAAATCTAAACAAAAAAAAAATCATGGTTTTGCAAAAGGGTGAGAAAATGACTTCATCTCTCCCTGCTTGCAGCATCCCCATGAATTATGCTGAGGGTGAAGAAACGGAGCTGCCTTGGTGTGACGCTCAGCTCGCAGCTCCCATGCCAGTTGGCTGCTCCCTGCAAGCATTTAATCACAAGTGGAGCCCTGGTTTGGGTCCAGCCCTCGAAAGCAGCCTGATTCATGTCTGCAGAGGGCTGCTGGTAAAATTAAAGCTGACTGGCAGGCCTGGGCAGCAGGAGACACTTGCTGGCATCTCTGCAGTGCTGGGGCTTTGGCAAGAGGTGCCAGTGTGCCTGGGGATGGATGGATGGATGGATGGATGGATGGGGCTTAAAAGCTGGAGGCTCTGGACCATTTTTTCCCCTGCCAGGCTGATAATTTCATTTTCAGAGGTCAAACTCTGGACATCATCCTAGTTCACTTGGAGTGAGTGAAAAGCCATTTGTGGCAGTGGATTCCTCCCGTGCTGGTCAGCAGGGTGAGCTCACTTAGTGCACCTTCAGCAGCAGCACACTCAGAAAAGTCCTGTGGGTTTACTTCTCACTGGATGTAAAGCAGGTCAGGAAGCTGTGGGGTGGCACCTTGTGGGTGGCTGGAGCCGTTGAGGTGCATCCCAAGCAGATGCACACCCTTCTCGTGGTGTGAGGGGTGCAGCCAGGCTGGGTTTCTCCACACCCTTCAGTTTGTCACCCTGGACTGGTGTCTCTGGAGCACCTGGTGAAGATGCTGCTCAGGGCTTCTGCCACAGCCTCTGGTGAGGTTTCAATTTCCTTTAGCCCAAGATACCCGTCCTGAATCTTTGATGGCGTTTGCCACCTGAGCCACGTGGGGTTCTGTCATTTTGGGAGTGTTCTGAGCAGTTTGGTGGCTCAGCAGGAGGCTGTGGGGTCTTGCTCCTCTCCCCTCACTCCTCCTGTCCCGTTCCATGCCGAGGCTGGTCCTGCATCCCCAGCTGGCACCCTGGGAGCTGTCCTGGAGCAGGGCATGTCTGAGCTGGGCTCCCGGCTCCCAGCTCCCAGAGCCTCTCTGGGGGTCACACACCTGCCAGCCAGGGCCGTGCTGGGCACCAGGGAGGCAGCTTGTGCAAAGCAGTTTTTAAGAGCAGCCATAAATAAAGTGCAAAGAGCACTGTCTGGTACACAGAGTCCAGGCGCTCCTGTGACAGCCTTGTATTTATGAAGGGCTTAAAATGCAGCTTTGCTGAGCAGGGACTGGCTAAAACACACAGGGCCCCTGACATGTGGCATCCCAAAGACTCTGCTCACATCCACATCAATTCCTGCACACTCGCCTCGCTCAGCTCTGGGCTGGAAATGCCTTCTGGGTGCTTTGGGAGCCTGGAGAACTCTGTAGCTCTGAAAATGCAGCCTCAGGAAGCACCTCTGAGCTCTCCAGAGTGGAGAAGCCAGGCAGACAGGGTCCTGCATTCCCTCCTTCCCAAGGGAATGCTCCGCTACCTATAGCAAGGTGTGCAGCCCTCACCATGGGTAGCACTCGCTTTCCATCCTGGTCCTTCCCATCTTGGAGCACCTTTCATCCCTGCTGGATCCAAACTTTTGGGACAGAGGGATCCCAGGAACCCCCTTTTCTCCAGAAACCATATTAAAAAAAAATTAAACAGCAGCTTCCAAGCTCCTGGGGAAAACCACTGCCCCGTGCTCTCCAGGGATGCTGGTGTCCAAATGCCTTCAGCCAAAACATCCCTGCGCTCACCCACTGCCCCTGAATTACTCAGAATGCAGCACATTTGTCCCAGTAACCTGTGCCTCTGATACTTCTCTTCAGCTGGAGTGCAAATCCCCTAAAATAGCCTGTTTCTGTGGGCAAATTCTTCTTTCCTGACTTGCCTTCGAGCCCGGGCATTTCTGCTCCTCACCTATTTTTAGCCACGACACTGTAGGTCCCTTGGCTGATGAGCCTGCTCGTAACTAATTTATTCCTGTCTCCACTCTCCCTGCACACCAGCCCTGAGCAGAGGGGAGCCTGCAGAGGTGGGCAGTGAGAGAAGCCCACGGTTTGGTGATGATTCCATGGTTTGGTGATGACTCCAGGGTTTGGTGATGACTCCAGAGTTTGGTGATGACTCCACGGTTTGGTGATGACTCTGCCACCCAAACCAGCCTGCCCATGACCTTGAGGTGAGTCCTGGCCGAGCCCTCCACGTGGTGAGGTGCGCCCTGTGGCAAAGCTGGAGTGTTCCAGCCCTGCTCCAATCCCACAGCCACCAGCTCTCCATCAACGTTTCAGTCCTGCAAACAGCCCCCAACATCCTGTCCCCACCCAGCACGGTTTATGCCCAGCTTAGGGGCTGTTGCCACCTGCAAAGAGCAAACCCCTCACCTCACACCTGCCTCACCTCCTGGACAGTCCCTGCCCTTCCCAGCTGGGGCGGGGACCCGCACCCACTCCCTGCTCAAGGGGCAGATGCTGTGTGCTGGGTTTGGATGAGCCCGGGGAAGGGAGAGGAGCTGAATTCACCAGAGTTTGCTGCCCAGGGCTTTGCACAGCCCCGTCCATGCCCCCAGCACGCCCCAGGGTCAGGATGGCAGTGCAGGGCTCACATTTTGGGCCCTCACTCCCTCCTGGAGGATGGTTATTGGAGTGCCTAATGCACTGCTGGCAGCAGGCACGCTGTAAATCACCCTGACAGAGCCACCGGCAGCTCCGCTGGGATTCCAGGAGATTAAAGGGAGGAATAACTGCAGGGACGCGGCAGGTCCTGCTCCAGTTTGCCCGGAGCCCTGGGGGCTGTGCCATGTCACCCAGCACCCACGGGGAGGGTCCCGGTGCTTTTCCCAAGGCAAGCCCACCTCCCGGCCCAATTAGCACATCCAGCACCCTCCAAACTCCTGAGCAGCTCTGGCCGAGTCCTTCGAGCCTTTCTGTGGCAGTGCCAAGCCTCCCGTCCTTATCCCAACCCTTCTGTGCCTCAGCTGGGAGCAAGAGGGGGAGAGACTGCGGGATGGGCAAGGGATGGGCAAGGGATGGACCAGGGATGGGCAAGGGATGGACCAGGGATGGACCAGGGATGGATCTGGAGGAAAGAGGAGAGCCCCCAGCTTTGTTTGGGCCGGGGGAGGCGTTGTCACTGTCCCGTCCCCCCTCGGAGGGGAGATGCCCTCGGGCAGGGTGGGATCCGTGCGGAACACGGTCTGTGACACAGCCCCTCCTGCCCTGTGGCATTCCCAGCCCATGGAGGGGGTCCCGGCGCCCCCTCACCGGCCCCGCGGAGCAGGCGGGGACCGCACGGGCACAGGGGACCGGCCATGTGCGTCCCCAGCAGGGCAGGACAGCAAACCCGGCCGGCTGCACGTCCCGGGACATCCCGGGGGTGTCCGGCACCCGCCGTGCTCAGACACCGCCGTGTGCCCGCCCAGCACCCCGCAAACTGCCGGGGAAACTGAGGCACGGAGGGAAGCGGCGCCGCGGGACGAGCGCGGGTGAGACTTACGGGCCCGGGCTCGGCTCTCGGAGGCGAACAGGAGCAGGAGGCACCGGAGCAGGAAGGCGAGGGGACCCGCCCCGGGAAGCATCGCAGCCCGCTGCCGGTGCCCTGGGGCTCCGCTCCCGTGCGCGGGGCGCGCTGCCCGGTGATGGCCCGGTGATGGCCCGGTGATGCCGCGGGGTCTGCGCTGAGGGATTCGCTCCCGCTGCCGGTGCCCGGGGCTGACAGTGCCCGGAGGTGCTGGAGCCGGGGCTGTCGGTGCCGGAGCTATCGGTGCTGGGAGGTGTCGGTGCCCGGGGATGCCGGTGCCCGGGAATGTCAGTGCCCAGGGGTGGCTGTCGGTGCCCGGGAATGCCGGAGCCGGGCTGTCGGTGCCGGCAGCGCTCCGGTGCCGGTGTCAGGGCTGTCGGTGCCGGTGCCGGTGCCCGGGGGTGCCGGTGCCGGTGCCCGGCGGGGCTCGTCTCGCTCCGATCAAAGGCGCCTCCTTTAGGGAGAGCCGAGGAGTTGTTTGTTGGTATTAAAGGCGGAGATCGGAGCGGGAGGGGGGATCCGCAGGGTGGGTATTTTATAATTTTTTTTTATTATTGTTATATTCCCACTTTTTTTTGGGGGGGGCTGTTTTAGGAAATTCCTCGGCGGCAGGAGGGAGGGAGGAGGGAGGGCGGGCGGGGAGGTGGTGCGGGAGCCGCAGGGTTAACCCCTGCAGCCCTGCAGCCCGGCCGGGGCTCTCCGGGCCGCGCCTCGCCCTGGGGGGCACATTCATGGGGTACATCGTTAATGGGGTACGTCATTGATGGGGTACATCATTGATGGGGTACATCATTGGGGGGGTACATCATTGATGGGGTACATCATTGGTGGGGTATGACATTAATGGGGCACATCATTAATGGGGTACATCATTAATGGTACACATCACCGCCCCAAAGGAGCCCCAGCTGTGCCCCTTGTCCCTGTCCAACACCACCTGGACACCTGGGCATTCCCTCAGCTCCATAAACTCTTTAAATGCCCAGTGCAGCCCCTGCCTTCAGGAACCCCCCGGCCCCAAACCCTCCTCCCAGCAGCCCAGCAGTGCTCCCACCCAGCTGCCATCCATCTCCATAGCATGGGCACGGAACAGCATCTCTTGGAACAGCGCTGGTCATGCTGTCATCCCTGGAGGAGCCACCTGGCCTCCACACAACGCTGCTCCTGTTCCTGCTGCTCCCCAGGCCCTGCACACACACAGTGGTCCAGATGGGGCTGCCAGCCCTTCTCTGCCTGTCTGTGGGCTCAGCTCTCTGCTCTCCAGAGCCTCCTGGAGAAGTTGGGCAGCACTGGATGATCCCTGGGCAGCTGTGTGCCCTCAGCCAGGCCACTTCCAGGATAAGCCAGGGCCACCAGTTCGTTATGGAGGTGAATTTCTGCAGTTCCCTAGAGCAGATTTTGTGTGGTTTTTTACCCATTCCTCCTGTTCCATCCTCATAGCTCGGGGGTGCTCAGAGTGAGACACTTGATTAGCACATAAATCCAGGATTTAATGCAGCAATAAACACCTTCATGCTCCATCACTGGGAAGGCTTGGATGGAGCTCCCAGACCTTGCAGGGTCCTTCTTTGCAAATGCCTTCATGTCTGCAACACCAGGTCTCTCTCTTCCCGTTATCTCCTTCAGCTTCCTCACAGCACCAGGAAGGAGCTGTCACCACCTGAGATGCCTCTGGTGACAGGAGATCTCCTCCATCACCCAAACTGTTCATTTTGTTCTCTGATTCAAGCTCAGGATTGGGCTTTCCAGGCTGTGAGATCCTTGTGCCTGCTGCCATCCCACTCTGAGAGTGGCACCAGGCCCCTGCTCTGCCACGGTGTCCCCAGAGCCCTGATCCTGCTCACACCAACCACAGGGCCCATTTCTGGCAGAGATTAAAGACATCAAGGGCAGTTTCTGCAGAAAAACCTCTTCTTTCCATCCATCTCCCGATTTTCTGTCTCTAACTCTACCCCAGGTGCCAGCACATGCCCCATGCTTGCAGGTGCCTGTTCCTGGAGCTGGATAGAGGGAAATCTGTAATAAGAAAGATTTCAGTATCCCCCTAAATCACCAGCTTTGTTATTTTCTCTTTAAGCTGCAAGCAAAAGAAATCAAGAGGCATTTCTGTGCCCACATGGGCTGGACATACATTCTGGGAAGAAAGGGGGAAGCACTGAACCCAGCAGCTCCAGGTGCTGCTGCTGTTGGACCCAGAGATTAAAATTATCACCCCCTAAAGCCACTTCCCCTTTTCACCGCTCCACTCATTCCCAGCTCTCTGCAAGTCTTTTCTAGCAATGCCCCTCTGTTTCCCCCTTGTGCCCTGATGGAGATGCTTAGCGGGGTTTGGGTGAACCGCAGGCTGTTCCAGCTCCCGCAGGAAAGGCTGGTGCCCCCTCTCCCAGCTCTTCCCTCGCACAGGGCCGATTGAAAAGCCCATTTGTAGCACAGGGCTGCGGGCAAGTTATGGAAGTGCTGAGACAAATGGGGACACAAAGTGCAAGTCAATGGAGTTATTTTGTGCTCTGCAGCAGCAGCAGCAGCAGCTGCTGAGTTCAGGGCTGTGGATCCTGGCCCCACATCAGGGCTAGAACTTATGGGAAAGTTCAGGCACATCCCCAGTGCAGACCCAGGAAATAAAGGCCAGCCTTGTCAGGAGCGAGGTGCTGTGTTACACCTCTGCTAGGTCTCATAAAGAATACATTCACCCCTTGGCAAAACCAAGCTCTTTATCTTCATCTGTGGAGGAATCTGTCTGACAGTTCAATGCTGCCAGCACCAATCCATCTGTGATCATGAACCAGGCTCCAAAAACCAAGGCAAATAACAACACATGGGTGTGCTCTGTTTGTCTTCTGGTTCCTGAGTCTTCAGGTCAAACTCACTGCATGTTTTATGGGCAATCAAGAGGACAAGACAATTCTCTTTTTAAAAAATTTTAATGAGAATGAAAACAGAATCTGCTGCTATTTTGAACCACGGGCTGTGGCATGAGAGAGACCCTGAGCAAAACCATGACAGCCAGGTTGGAGCAGCCTGGGACAGTGAAGGTGTCCCTGCCCACATCAAGGAATGAGATGAGTTTATTGTCCCTTCACACCCAGCCCAGCCCGTGATTCCCTGCTCCCATCCTCCTGGGTGACCAGTGCTGGTGACAGCTCCTCAGGGAGGTCTCCTGAGGGTGGCTGTGCCTGGGGGATGCTCATCAGAGGGTTCCCCATGGAGTTATTTCCAGTGTGTGTCACTCCCCCGTGCCTGGGAGCCGGTGGGCTCTGAGGAGCTCCAAAGTCACACCTTTGGGAGGGTTTGAGGCAGCCACTGGCTGCTGAGGCTCAAGAAGGCAATTTACTGATTACTGGCAGCACCCAGTCCAACCTGGAATGGGAAACCTGGTCCCTTTCTCAGAGTCTGAGCATGTTCCCAAGCACAAACCCAAACAGATATCTGCAATCTGTGCAAACCAGTGGCACACAGAGGACAGTGGTAAGAGATCCTCCTCCAGGGATGGAGAGCAGCAACCAAGCAAGGGGCAGGGCTGGAGAAAGGCTGGATGAAGCCAGGGGGAAGGACAGAGAGGAAAAATGGGAGAGCACAGCGTGTGTGCACCGTGATCTGTGCCACCTGCTCCCCATGGAAGGTGGGCAAGAGGAACGGCGGTGCCAAAGCCCTGCCAGCTGCTCGGGACGGGGAGCAGCAGGGAAACGCTCCCGACAGGCTGGGCAAGGCTGAGGTCTTGGCTGGGCACGGCAGGGTTTGAGGCTGGAGCCTTGCACGGGCTTAGGATTCCCTCTGCAGGCCAGCCCTGAGCGCGGCACATCCCCACTGCAGAGCCAGGAGGGACGGGGATGGAAAGGAGCTCAGAGCCCCGCAGTGCCACCCCTGCCCTGGCAGGGACACCTTCACTGGCCCAGGCTGCTCCAGGGCCCGTCAGCCTGGCCTTGGGCATTCCAGGGATCCAGGGGCAGCCACAGCGTCCCTGGCACCCTGGGCCATTTCTTTATGGCTCTTGTTGTAAAACATTCCTTCCCAGTGTTCTGTTTAACCCTGCCCTGTGGCCGTGTAAAACCAGTGCCCCTGTTGTGACTTTGGGAGGAAGGCACACTGGAGACACAGAAACCAAGGCTGGGTGTGCAGGAGCAATCTGGGAGCACAGCTGGCAGAGATCCTTTCCCAAATCTCAGCGAGCCTGGGGCTCTGCAGAGCCCTGCACAGCTCCTGGTCCTGCTGCGGTGGGGAGGTGTCCCCGGTCCCTCCCGGGGGCTCCCCGGTGCCCAGCCCCCGGCCCAGGCTGATCCTGGGAGCAGCAGCTTTGTTGGGAGCTCAGGAATGGCACACTGCCCTGAGTGCGGCCAGCAGCGGCAGCGCCTGCGGGACAGACACACAGACTGCTGGACAGGGGCCAGCCCAAACCGCTGCCATAACTCATCTCAGTGAAGCCAGCACGAGCTTTTTGTTTCACGAGAAGCAACCTTTTTGTCAACTGGCACTGGATGGAGCCCGCAACAGCAGGGATCCGCATGCTGGTATCCTTTTAGTCATTCAACAGCCAGAGACAACTAAAGATAGACGTGTGGGTGAGATGGAAAGTTAATGATATCCCCCAGCAAGCTCCTGGCACGGGTGCAGAGGCTGTTTCCTGGGCATGGATCGCCCCTTCCTCTCTCCAGCCAGGGAGAGAGGAGCCTGCTCAGGGACTCAGAGGTGTGGGGCTTCACCTCTGCCTCTCAGCCACGTTCACTCTTCTGCCAACCCAACCTAGCTGGGAGGCTCCATCAGAGGGAGTGCTAAAATATGATGAGAAGACAGATTGGTTTGGTGCCCCAGTAAAGAGATGAGGAGCAGAAGAGAAGTGCAAGAGATTTCCATAGCAACTGGTGCAGAGGCTCTGCCTCCTCTGGTTTGCTCTGAGTCACCATCCATGGTGGTTTAACTCTGGCTGGATGCGGGGTACCCACCAAAGCAGCTCTGTCACCCCTTCCTCAGCTGGACAGCGGAGGGAAGGCTGAACAAAGGGCTCATGGGCCAGGATAGGGACAGAGAGACCAGCCACCCGCTACAGTCACAGCTGGCAGAGCTGGGGTGTTCACCTGGGGACACCTCAGAGCCC